TTTTCTTGTTGCTCGACGTAAGTCAACGCCTTTTGTAGAGCTTCTAATCCCTCAGAATGTGATATTTTGGCAGAGATTTCTGTCTCATTGTCACTAGCATCACTTAAAACTGGCTCAGCGCCATTGATTGTTACAAACAGTTTTTATCAGTACTGTGTAAATTAATTCTTCCACCAACTCATCACCACTAATCCTCTCACCAACATCTGCTTGAGTAAGACTTTCACACCCAACTATTTTTACGACAAGATCATGTAAATTTTCGTTGCTATTCTCATAGTCTGCGCAAGGTTCCATTTCTTGCTTAATTATTGTTGGAACCCGCGAAGCAACCCCAACCGCACGTCGCTGCTCCCTGTGTAGAAGAGCCGCGCCTGCGCGCTGCGCACCCTGTACCGGCAATGCTGCATTTCCTAGAACATCAAAGAATCACAACCGTCCATAACGGGCAGTAAGTCATTGAGTGAAAAAGACGCCAAGACGACGACGACAACGACGCGAGCTCCACAGCTATGTATCACATACAGGGTGACTTTGAAGTTGAGTCATTAATTTTCAGATAATGATTGTAGAAGGAAGGTAAACCAAAATATGTGTGTAAAAATAAAAAAAAAATTTTTACCTTGTTTTATAAAGTATCCTCCCGACAAGTATTTCAGTGCGGACCTGTATTTGATCGTGAGGTCCCCTGTGAGGTCTTAAGTCTCCTGATTCACGAGCCCGTTGTACTACATTAACAAAGGCACGAGGGGTTGGTTGCACTCGATTGGGAAACCGATCCGCATAAACATGTGCCATTTTTTATTTCGTTTGAGCCACGCAACAGACACTATTCACACGCGACACTGACAGTGACTGTATGTATAACTGAACTGAATAAAATAATAAACTGTACACAAACATCGTTCCAAATTCCTTCGCTTTTTTGTTTCCGATGCGATGAACCGGTAAGGCGGATTATATCCGTTGTTGCCAAACACGAGCACATGATATTGAGACAGGGCGGTACTCAAACTTCCAAAGGGCTATAACTTTGTTACTTTAATTTTACCAGAAAAATGGTAAAGGAAAAAAACATTTCTTTTGATCAGATCTATTCACTGTTAAAATAAATGACTCAACTTCGAAGTCACCCTGTATATAGCCGATGTTGTTGGTTATTTAGTTAATATAGTTGTTAATCGGCACACAATGTTCGTCTGTGACACCAAACCTCCGTCCCACATTATTGTCGACCAAGATTTTTGTAAAGTAGAATTTTTTACTTTTCTCCATGCTTCTGCTATCCAATATGCTACATACTTGATGTTAATATTTTTTAAACAAACAACCATTAACAACTTGATCTAAAATTTGCTCTAATACCAAACGTCTGTAATTGCGTTTTAATTTTTCTAAAACTCCTTGATCCATTAGCTGAATCAGTGACGTTACATTAGGAGGCAGAAACATCACTCGAATTTCTCCACTTTTAAGTTGCTCCTCACTTGAGTGGCTCAAATGATTGTAAAACCAGTCCTTAAATAGAGCGGCATCCATCCAGGCATTTTTTCATTCTAATACCACACTGGAAGAGCGTTGGGGCGGACGTGCTTCAATGCTCTTGGTTTAGCTGATTTTCCGATTAACAACAAAGGAAGTTTGTGTGTACCGGAAGCATTGCTACAAGCAAGGATAGTCACACTTCTTTACTGCGTTTGTAACCACGAGCTCTTGTTTTGAAGCTAAACTTTTGGCCGGTAACATTTTATAGTTTAGGCCCGCTTTGTCGCAGTTGTAAATTTGTTCTGGATTTAAACAATACTGCTTCATTAATTCTTTAAAGTGTTTTCCAAATTTTAATGCAGCGGACTTACCGGCAGATAACTTTTCTCCGCAAGCTTTTAATTCTCGTATACCGTGTCGTTTTTTCCATCTATGCAGCCAACCATCACTGGCTGTAAAGTTATCAAGCGCCTCAATAACTGGCATTCCTTCACTTAAGTTGACTGCCTTTTGCTTTAGAATTGGTCTGGAAATTGGCATTCCTCGTTTTCGATTCTGTGTAAACCAAATATATAAAGCATCATTCACTTTTTGATATTTCCCCTTTTTCATAGTTTTCCGTGATGACTGCGATGATGCCAGAACACTAGACGACTTTTAATTTTCTCGCTTTGTTTTTTCCACTCTGAAATGGTACTCACGCCCACACCCAAATCACTTGCCACGTTTTTAAGCAAATCACCTCTATTTAAACGTCTGATAACCTCAAGTTTCTTTTAGGTGGTAATTACAATGCGTTTACGTTTATTTCTATGCTGCTCCATCTTAGCGATTAAGAATCTGACTGAAACAATCATACACGCACACATACTAGTGAATTCCGCAAACCTGTTTCGGACAAAACGGATTTCGGATAATCGCGATTCGGATAATCGGGGTTCTACTGTACTTTAAGCCGTTCGTGATTCAGTACTGTATTCGATTTAGGGAACATTTGTTTTGGGTAGTGCCCCAGGGTTCAGTCTTGGTTACTTGGCTTTTTATAATGTACCTAAACGACTTATCATTGGCACATCACTGACATGTGCAGACCGTACCCTAGATGTGCTCGAAAAAAGAACTACTGATAATTTAGAAAACACAAATGAATGGTTCACTACCAATTATCAAAAAATTAACAAAGACAAGACTGAAAATATCATCTCATCCACTAGTAGGTTTATAACGGTGGGTAGAAGTGCTAAAGTCCTTGGAATAGTTCTATATAACTCATTAAGTTGTGTTCATCACATTGATTAGCTGCAGCATGGTTCTGTGCAAATAACAAGCGACTCCTGTTTTGAGCAGTCAGGTCTTGTATGAACATAATCAGTAGTCCCAAAGCTAAGCTATACTATAAAGATGTACTCCTATGAGGTCTCTACAACATATATGAATTTGTTGGTAGCACAATTCTTCGTTCGTGTCGTTTATCGAAATCACCCTGTAAAGCCCTAATTTAGTTCAACAGGTATGTGGTATTAACAGCAGTATTAGGCCTAAAACGGTGCCTGTTCTCGTTTTCCCGTTCAATCCACTACAGAAGTTAGGGCTGGTACCTATTAATTGTACATCACACTCCTAGGTGAAGAATTATATAATAATAAATGTCCTGTTAACTGATACAGTATTAGATTGCAACCTATTAGGGACGCTTTATTTGCAATTGAGACTGTAGCTGAGGCCATCAGCGGTTTTAGTTAGTAAAAACACTACAAATCCGTGTACTTTAGAGCCGTTCGCGATATAGTGTGTTGTGGTAGACGGTACTGATCTGATTTACAGGAAATTTGTTTTGGGATAACCCAGGGTTCATTCTTGGGCCCTTGCCTTTTTATAATGTACCTAAACGATTTATGCCATCATGACACAGCACGGGTATGTGCAGAGCGTACCCTAGCTGTGCTCGAAAAAAGAGCTACTGACAATTTAGAAAAATCAAACGAATGATTCACTACCAATTATTCAAAACTAAACAAAAACAAGACTCAAAATATGATCTTATCCACTAATAGATCCATAACTATGGGTAGAAATGCTAGAGGCTTTGGAATAGTTTTAGATTTCCAGACAGAGACGTATGCGTATTGTCGAGTTTTAACATCTATTTAATTTGTATCTGGTTGCCTATACGTCCACGTTTTTCTGTAATGTGAAAAGTTTTTCATGACAAGACTATTTTGTACTTTGTACATGAACAGATGAAATATCTATACACTGATGGCCGAATACCACCGATGTCGTAATGTGTACGAGAAGCGTGCAATGCGTGTGTTAGAAAGAGATAGAGGCACCACGTTGCTTAGCAGCTCGAGTACGAGGATGCCATCGGCGCACTCTTTCTAACATAGATATTGCACGCTTCTCGCGCTTCTCTCTCCTACACATTACGACGTCAGCAAAATGTGAACCTCACCGTATATCTATTTATATCATTATTGGTTGAATGCTATCCTGTCCCTGTGTGTGGTCTTGCTTCGAAATGGCTTTTACCTGCGTTCACGCAGGCGGTGATAATTTGTATTTCGTAACGTGATTTGTTACATTTTGCCACAGCTAACTCAGGATGTGTTGAATTTATCACCATCGGTGAAAAAAATGATTATATAGTCAAAATGAAAACAAAATATTAAATTAAATGTTCTAACCGACCTCCTTCTTGGGTTTGACAGTAATCTAGCCTATTGTAGCAGTCTGTGCGAACATTTTCTGGTGTAACATATTGGCATCCCGGCGACTGCACGACCTTCTGCGCCACCGTTGCTAGACAATGTGATGATGACCTTCGCTCTTCAGCCGGCTTCTGTTTCTTTCTAACATGTGTTGATACACACTTCTCGCGCTTCTCTCTAGTACACATTGAACTCAAGCCGTCAGACAAATTTGGTTATCCCTGTATAAGTACATGTGCCGAGTCGTGTTGCTATCGGGTTGCAGTTTCCAGTTGGTTTCAGTGAGAACAGTCCTTTAAACCTACCAGTGTAAAACGCAATTATAAAAACTGTATTAATCCCTTATTTCTTGCGGATGCATATCAAAATCAATGAGTGCAAGCAGTCTACAAGTTCGAAACACGAAAAACTATTAAACGCTTCGGATCAAAAGAACAGCGGATGGGAATTCAAAACAAAACTGTTCCGCCATTCCCATACACAAATCAAGTCCAAAGAAAAACAAGTCGATAAAGTTCGTTGGGCGTATCTGAAACCTTATCGCGTTTGGCAACAGATCTCGCTCAAAAAGAGACTCGCATCGCATTCAGCTTTGATCTGTAGTAGATTTATTCGCTATTGTCAGAAGTTCGGGTAGTTTGGTAGTCGTGATAAACACTCATGAGGCTAGTTCACAGATGTAAAGATTGGCATGATTAGACCAAAAAAGCTTCGAAATTCATTATGCACTATAGCACTCAAACGCAAAAAGTACATAGTCTCAAAATTCAGACAAGATTTGAATTAAATGGATTTTTGTATATTCCAGCTACCACGAAGACCTAAGGCCTAAACATCCATGGGGTACAGTGGGGCTATAGGGGGATATAGGGGAAAGAGGGGGACACCACACGGACTCTGGTGAGGGAACACGTGTGCATGCAGCATGCATTCATTCTGGCCCCGCCTACGAGATCCGCCCGGTGGTACCTCCGCGTACGACAGTCAGAGACCGTCTACCACCTACGGACAATCACAACATCCATAGCCAAGAGAAAAAATTATTTTGGGACGGGATTCGAACTAGGAGGCCGTAGCGTCTACCACTACGCCACCGCTGCTGGCTGGATATAATTATATTGCTACATTTGTTTTTATTCTGCAAATATTTGTTTTGGTCTATTCATCATTTTTTCTTCGACTTTATTAGAAAGATCTGCATCAGATGAAATTAGAAAATATTTTAATCATACTCAAAAATTTTGCTTAAATTGTGGTACCAATAAATTTACAGGATGTTTTTACGTCTATATACATGTTATACTTATACGTATTTTTCATATTCTGTTCTAAGCAATTACGTGACTGCTGATGAAATTTCACAAGGTTTTTAAGGACATTCACAGAAGCATCTTGGAGATTTTCAATAATAATTTTGTTTTTCCTGTCTCGTTTTATTTTGTTAAACGCAAAGACTTTTTGTTTGACTTTATTAATTCATATAAACGCTACTGTAACCTAGGAAATCATAGTTTAATTTTTTTATAGGCTGAGATTTGAAGATGCCTAGGTGATAAAACACGTTTCTAATGCATCCAATCCTTATTCAGGTTGGAGGCCACCCTTTGGTCTTTGGCTTAGCTGTGCCCTAGCCTTAGTTTCAGACTACTGGCTTATCTTTGAATTTCCTTTGGATTTTTATTAGATATGACCTTTGGCCACCTTAGGCTCTTAATCTTGACTTGGACCCTATTTAGGATCTACGAACCAGTCTAACCTGTGGCCGATGCTTCCATTGAGCTCACATGCATGGAAGCTGCAAAGATAAGTCACAATATTCCTTTTATTGCATTTTATAAATCTATTTGCCAAATACTGATCTTTTTAATGTATACAGCTGTTAGTGTTTTCTTTAAAATGTAATGGAAATGCTTTTGCGTAAAACAATTTGTAAAATTTGTTTTTGTTGTTTGTTCTGTTGCTATCACTATGTCAACTTTTTCCACACACTTAGCGCTTGAGCCTTATGCCAATTGAGCTGTTGGAAGCTAGTTATAGCCTCTTTTTTTGTAAGCGCACCATTTTTTCTTGTCAAGCTTTGAAAGGGAAGTGTAAGTAGTGTAAATGACATTGTACCGTGCTTCGAATGCTATCTGGAAAAAACCACCCATACTAACTGTAAAAAATGCATGGTGGTATCACTGTTTATATTGACATGAGCATTATTATTAATTGGCCAGTCGAGTAGATGAAGGGAAAGCAGTATGTGAAATTTTGTTATAAATTGACTACTACTACTCATCGTTGCTTCTCAAGGCGGTCCGGAGGACCTTAGCCTTTAAGTCATAGTCACAGTAATGTCAATGTCTGTCGTCAGTCTGTCAGGTCTGGCGGCCCAGAAACCAGACAAGTTGTAGGGGAAAGGGGAGAGGGAGAAAGAAAGGAAGGAAGTAGGAGCGAGAAGAGAAAGAAAATGAATTGTTTTATGTAAATATTTGAGATGTCATAGATCTAAGAACTGTTAAATTGTACTATATAATTTTTTTTGACTTGTCCTGAACTGAATTTTGGGTCTTTGGTTTTTAAAAACTATAATTTTTAAAGGTCTAAACATGAATCTAACTTTTGATCACAGTGCGAGTCGCGGCCTGGAATGTTTGCGTATCTCCTCGACTGTGTAATCCACTGCTTCACGCAACAAAGGGTTGCTGTGCGATTCCGCTTGCTGGTGGCGCCGTTGTGACATACCTATCATGAAATCCCTAAGGTAGATCTCTATGGATGGTTTCGTTTGATACATGAATGAATGAATGAATCTTGAAATTAGAGGTATTCCGGCCACCATAAGGAGCCAGTGCATAGGCCGCTTAAGCGGGCCCTTATGCACCTCTACATTCCTAAGATCACAAGCCTCGCCCTTTTAGCGAAGTTGAGAACCGCCTTGAGTCCAAGCTCCTTGACGTCCTGAGGGTCGTTTGATACATACCATGGGGCATTAGTTATTGTTCTGAGAGTTCTACTCTGCAGAAATTGTATTTTTCGCATATGTGACTTAGCTAAAAGGCACCAAGCCGCACATGCGTAGGTTATTGCAGGTCTGATGATGGTTTTGTATATCCGAATCTTATTGACCAAACTCAATTTTGATGTTCTACATAAAAGAGGATACAATTGCCGAAATGTAATTTGGAATTTAATTTTCAGTTGTTCAGTGTGTGACTGCCAAGTCATACTCTTGTCGAGTGTAAGACCTAAGTATTTGGCTTTGTTAGCCCATGGTATCGAAACATCATCCACAGTAATCTCTGACGGGGCACCACGGCGCTTTTTTGTGAAATAGATAGCCTGTGTCTTTGAAAAATTAATTTTGATTAGCCACCGATTTGCCCACTCTAAAACCTCGTCCACCGCTTCTTGCAGCCTGTCATGGACTATGTCTCTAGAACATGACTGGGCTACTAATGCGGTGTCGTCGGCATAGAGATTGACTTCATAGTCGCTGGGATGGGGGACGTCGTGAATGAAAATAGAGTATAAGAGTGGTCCTAAGACCGATCCCTGCGGAACTCCGGCCCGAATGCGCCGTGTGGTAGAAAATACACTGTTAATTTTTATTCTGAATTTCCTTCCTTCTAGGAAGGATTTGAGTTGTTTTAATAGCCAAAAAGGGAAACCGTTTTGAATAAGTTTATAGAGGCCTGCGTGCCACACCTTGTCAAAGGCTTTTGCGACATCCAAAAAAAGGATTCCCGTGCTCTTGTCATGGGTGAATCCGCTGCTATACAGTCCACGAGCCTGACTGCCTGAAGCTCCGTACTATGCTCGGATCGAAAACCGAATTGAACATCAGGAATCACTTGGAGACCTGACGAAAATTTCTCAAGACCATAAATCACCTTTTCGGCGAGCTTAGAAGGAACGGACAGCAGGCTAATGGCGCGACAATCCTGAGGAGATATTGAACCTACCTTCTTTGGAATCATGATGATATCAGCGACCTTCCACACATCTAGAAAGTATTGGAGCCTAACCATTGCGTTGATTATTGTTACCAAGTATGTCACTGCCTTTGACGACAGCAGTTTAAGCGCCCTGTTGGTAATCTGATCCTCTCCAGGTGCCTTGCGCACCTTCAGATCATTTATATGACCTTGAAGCTCTGCTAGTGTGCAATACGGAATCACTGGTGATGACTCTGTCGGTGTGCTATGCAGAGCTTCTGTTGAAGAATCTTCCGAAGAGGATCTACCAGCTCTAGGGGTGCTGACGCTGGCGACATTAACAGCAAAATACTTCCTAACAGATCTTACAATGTCTCGTTCCTCGTCGAGATCGTTATCGAGATCATAATTTGGCGAGAACTGTTTTTCCATGACATTAGCAAAAACTCTCGCTTTATCCTCAGTCCTGAAGACTACACCTTCAGGGCCTTGGATATGCGGAAGTTGTTCCCGTTTGCCGTATTTGAGCGACTTTCCAAAGAGGAGTAGCGTTGTCAAGCATTCCTCCAAAAAAGTCGTTCCATTGCTCGTTTCGCAATTCGTGAAGTACGTTTCTTACTTCATGAACAAGATTCGTAGCTCTACGGATGTCATCAGGATGACAAGACCTTTTTGCCTGCTTGATTGCAGCTCTTTTGTCAGAAATTTTCTTACGTATGTCCGCAGGGAGGAAAGGTCTGCCAGGCCGCTGCACAGGAAGTACTGCTGCACACTGTAGTGTTTGTTTGACAGATCTTGTCCACTCTGCTTGAGCGGCATCTATATCAATTTCGTCAACTATAATCAGGATATCAAGAAACTCGGCCAGGAGCGATTTGTACAGTTCTCAATCGACGCGTTTACTAGTTCAGGCTTCCCTGACCCGAGCAATCCAAGAGGATTTCCAGGTCCGCTTCTTGAAGCCGAGGACCGCACCTCACATACACCGTTGTGATTTTCAATGGGATGCGTCCCATCATATTGAACACCACAGAGGCAGCTTCAATGCTTTGCATTTCAGCATTGATGCCTCTGTAGTAATCAATACCATGCTTAACAAGCACGGCCAAGCCGCCACCTCTCCCATTCAACCTGTCAGCACGAATAACGAAGACGAAGCGATCTCCGGGTTTTAAAAAGGTTTCCTGCAGCAATATCACATCTATAGACTCGTCCAAAAGGGCCTGGTGAGATTCTCGTTTCTTACCGACGCCTCTCAACCCACAACAGTTCCAGAACATAATTTGGAGAAAAGCAGGCTGTCTATTATACTCGGCTGTCTATGCTGCGGAAAGATTGCTTGCAACGCCTGTGTTGCGCTTATCAGAGGAGTAATAATTTGTTGGAGAAACATGAGCGCGGTCGCCAGGTCTACTTGTTGAGAGTTCAAAGCAGGAGCTGCGGCTGAAGTGGCAGGAGCTGAAGGCTTGGCTGTCATTTCAGCATAAGATTTATTACGTCTTTCGACTATAACCTGTAGGTTCCTTTTAGGAGTGAACCTGCACATTGGACTGTTAGCAGGATGCCCGTCCCCGCAGTTTGCGCATTTGCGTACCTCCTGTCTTGTTTGGGGGCACAAATGTGTTAAGTGGTTCTGTGCACATTTTACACATTTGGGTGGTGCTGTACAGTAAGACTGGGCGTGCCCATACCTCTGGCAGCGGTGACACTGGCCAATGAATTTATTATTCTTTCGAACCTCAACCTTAATTGAGAGGCCTAATAGTTCTTTTTCATTGAATAATTCATGTGATTTTTCGATTTTAGGCAGTATCACCACTACCAACGGCATGGAAGTGCCGCCACTGGGTTTTAATCTGATCAGATGGAGAGGGGTATATCCTTTCTGGTTCAGCTCCTGCTTTATCTCTTCCTTGTTGAGAGACGCGGAGATACCGCGTAGGACAGCATGTATGTTTCTTTCTGATGGCAGAGGAAAGGTATGATGGGCAATATTTTGCTCTTTGAAATGCCGAATTATCTTTCTGTAATCGTCATCGGTTTTGGGGACGATTCTAATCCCCGCGTGAATCGGTACCGCGCGATCTATCTTAATCTCTAGACTAATAAATT